ACCATCTGCTTAAAACTGTTCAAATGTCAGTTGAGATGTCTTCATAATTTAATTTGACAATTAAGCCATCTGACTTCTGGTATGACCCAATTGTTAACTATACATTTTAGGAATCCATCTGTTCATTCCACACTTAAAAAGGCCATATTATGGTATGACCAAATCAGATTCTGCCATACAATGCTTAGAAGAACCACACCAGAGAAACAAATGCATCAATTATCAGCCGGCAAAATTAAATACTCTCTACTTATCTAAACATTTAAAATTAGTAATGTTATTGTTAGTCAAAGACAGTAGCATTAGGGATGAGTTATAATGAAAGTTTTTGTCAAAATGTCATAATTTTGGTGAAATGTACTGAAGTCAAAGGAGAAGGTGAAATTAAAAGGAACTCCACTTTCATGGCAAAGTATAGCACATTTAAAAAAAACAGCATATACAATTGCTACACAAGTCGTATTATAATTTAATGTTATTAAAATTACTTTTCCATCTCAATCTGCAGCCCTGTAATTTTCTGGAAAATTCAATGAAATTGGGCAACCAGGAGGTGTTTTGGACACTGTTGGTTTACAGCAGTGTTTCTCAACTCCAGTCCTCATGGACCCCCAACAGGTCATGTTTTCAGGATTTCCATTATTTTGCACAGGTGATTTGATCAGTTTCACTGCCTTAGTAATTACCACAGCTGTTTCATCTGAGGGAAATCGTGAAAACATGACCTGTTGGGGGTCCATGAGGACTGGAGTTGAGAAACACTGGTTTACAGAATGCTTCCAAATATATAAGTTCCTGCTTGTGTGATTACCTCACTATTTTTCCCTGAAGCCTGCACTAAGATATAGGTCACTTTTTAGGCATCCTCTGCAACAGAAATGTAATTTTTGTTGAGATACTCCCTAAAGGTTAATTGTTTCTAAAGGGATGCAGACACTGCAACTTTTCTCATCAGAATACTGAAAGTGCACTAGGTGATTATAATGAACTAGTCCCTCCCATACAGAATTGACATCCAGGGGACATAGTCAAACAAACAGCTATTTATTCAGAGCAGAAACAGGTAGGAATTGGCAACAAAGTTTGTTAAAATTCCTGCAACGTACATTGAATAATTTGTAAGGACTTTTTTATGTCTTTTTGGCTGCAGTGGGCTTTGACCCATAATTAGCCTTGTTTTTTTAGGAAGGGAAAAACAAATGGTGAAAAAAATGTAAAAATAAAAATTCAAAGTGAAAGTACACTGATAAAATACACAAAACATGAAGAAACAACACACATACAAAGTGCAGTGTGTAAAATACATTAATTTACCATAAAATAAATAATACAAACAATTCTCAATATTTAAAAAAATGCAAACGAACTAATGTTCAAGGTCAATGAAATTGGAAGGGGTGGGGAATACTACTGTACTTATCCCTAAAAACAATCAATCATATTTTCTGTTTTAGGGCTAATATGCACATTACAAGCTGATTGTACAATCTTAGTACAATCTCCTTTAGATTTAGCAAAAACTTCATTGTATGAGGACAGACCTACACAATCTATTTAATTTGTATTTAATTCTGCAGGCCCTTGCATTACATTGTTGGTAGTAAATCTGATGTAGGTTGCACAACGAAGAGTATGGTCAGCTTTACAGTGCAAAATAATGGAATGAAGGTTCTGACTGGTTTATATGAGTTAAAAAATACTGATACTTTTTAGGGATACACTGTATTACCTGATCCTTCTTCTTTTTTTGTAAATGTATGCAAAGATATAAAAATACAATATCACTGTCACCAAAAAGGAAACTCGTAGCAAAGTTTTCCATTCCTTAATAACATTATATAAATGATTTTCCTATACATATTTATGCTTTGTATCTTACTTTTAATGAGACAAACTTGTAAAAGCTTTGTGAAGAGTTAAGTATTTTGATAAAGGCCAAAGGGAAATCTTTGTGCATCTACAAAGCATTCACTCTACAACTGAGCAATCCTTTAGGGACCCGATAAGCAGAGTGAAGCATAAGACACTTGTTCGTTATATAATTTGTGTATTTATTTCACTCAATTCTCTTCATCTCTTTACAATATACACTATAAACTTAGAGATTTTCAGGTCTAATGAATACAAAGAAAACAAAGTTTACTAGTATGTTTGAAATACAGTACAATGAGCTAGTGGAGAAGTGTTAACGGATTATCTTCTTGTGTAAATAAGGTCACAGAAGTCATATTGATTACCAAACCTATATATCTATCTAGACATTCTGCCATGTACAAGGCTATATAGTAAATAGAGTTGGGATACCTTTCTATCTTTGCCTGAGAGCAGAACATTGCAAACAGATGTAATGTGTCTGCATTCTAAATATTATGTTTGATTTTGCCTTTAATGCCACTTTTAAGCCCAACTCCAGGCTAATTTTATTTATTCAAATGTCCTCCAGCAGTATTGACAATGAAAAATCAGCATTTGCTGCAATTCGCACCTTAAATATGGGCTTCCTTTTCATGTAATCAGTCTTCAGGTTGAATAATACTCATGCTATGAATGCAGGATATAATGAACCCCCCTGAGGGAGTAATACTAGAGTGCCCAGCAGTGACTGCCCTTTTCCAGAAAAAAAGACAAAGAGGAGAAGGTCCTTGCTTGTGAGTGACATCAGGAAAAGATAAGTATAGGAAAAAGTATAATATAGAAAAAGATGGGCCTCTAGTGGAGGGGGGCTTTAAACATTTTTGCTGCCAGAGCTGTTTGCAATTTTTGTTTACATGTTTAAAAAAACATTTTAGGCCTACAACATTACATCTTTTCTGTAAGCAGATATCCTAGAGAGTAAAATGATGGTCACACATTCGGAAATGCAAAAATTCAGTTAAAAAAACCCACTAAAGTTAATTTTAGGATACACAAAAGCAACAAGTTATCCAATTTTTTGCTAAAATATAAAAGATGAGGTTGCAACAAATAGACAGAACTATATTGCCTGCACCAGTGAAATAGTGAAGTTCAGTACCCTATATTTTTCATAGGTGACACTTTAATTTCTGCATATAGGTCATCCCTATGGTTGTCCCCCTATGTGATGCATTTTTGGCCACAAGGTCTCTTTAATGAGATCTCAGGGTTTTAAATACCCCTGATGTCTCACCTGTCCCCCAATAAAGCAGAGAAAATTTGCTGATGTCATCTCCTCCACCCTGTGCCACCTGAAATACTGATCCTGGCCTCACTGTTGGGTGCACAGAGCCCAGAAGCATGGCAGGAGTGCATGGAGTGGCTAGAGTTATCAGAGTGTATGGGCTGCACAATCACCCAATCACTTTCATCTGACAACCAGCAGTCATCTTGTTAGATATACACACATAGGGGTTGATTTAATAAAACTGTAAAATCTGGTGCAGCTGTGAATGATAACCAATCAGCTTCTAACTTCAACTTGTGGAATTGAGCTTTCACAAACAAACCTGATGGTTTCTATGCAGAGCTGTACCAGATTTTTTTCATTCTCCAGTTTTAGCAATTCAACTCCATTGTGCAAAACTACCCACCGCTGCAACTGACATAGTTTTTACATTGTTGGCAGGGAATTGCATTATGGATGAAATTGAGTGTATCCATTATCTCAAACAAGTTTTGGTCCTATTGTTAGCAAAAACCCTCTCAGTCTTTTTTTTTAAATTTGTCTGTTGCTGCTTGCTTGCAGAGAAAATTAACTAATAGAGCTTTGAAACACATAGGATTGGATCACATCCGAAGTTCTAGAAATTGGTACCTGATGTTTAGTTTTGGTTGGGGGGTTTTTGATTGTATGTACGCAACTAGATATCAGATGGAATTCCCCATTAAACCTGTAAAGTTATATAGTACTAGTATTAAGTGCAAGCAATTGTAAAGCCAGCAGAGAGACAAGGGATGATGATCCAGGAGGTTTTTGTTTACATGCTGATTCCCCTGAAAATTACATTCATAAAAGCAATAAAAATCCTTATGGTGACATACAGGCAGACTATTAAGGTAATTTGTTTGGGAGGGGAAAATATTTTCTCCTTAAATTGCTCAGCATGTTTCTAGACTACATTGAACTAAATTCATTTTCTGGATGACTACATCAGTAACATAAAACCCCTGTTTACTCATTGCCAGTTTTGCATGATCTCGCCAGCATGACTCCCTATTTACTTTACTGCAATCTGTATGAACCAAGGCTTCTAATTTTCCCTTAATATAGAGTTAAAATCCAGTCATCTGTGGCTAATTGTCAAAAAAATGTGTAGAATACCTTTTATTAAGTGCTCACACTTAGAAATCATAGAGCTTCTTTTGCAAAATAAAAGAAAGGGAAAACCACATATATGCTGTACAGTATGTAGTATCTTTCTGTCTCTCTCTCTCTCTATATATATATAGATATATACAGTATGTACAATATATATATATATATATATATATATATATATATATATATATATATATACACTATTGTGCCAAAAGTATTGGGAAACACCTGCCTTTACATGCACATGAACTTTAATGGCATGTCAGTCTTAGTCCGTAGGGTTTAATATTGAGTTTGCCCACCCTTTGCAGCTATAACAGCTTAAACTCTTCTGAGAATGCTGTCCACAAGGTTTAGGAGTATGTCTATGGGAACCGTTGACCATTCTTCCAGGAGTGCACTGATGTCAGACAAGAAGGCCTAGCTTGCAGTGTCACTCTAATTCACCACAAAGGTGTTCTATCAAGTTGAGGTCAGGACACTGTGCAGACCAATCAAGTTCCTCCACCCTAAATTTGCTCATCCATGCTTTGTGCACTGGTGTGCAGTCATGTTGGAACAGGAAGGGGCCATCCCCAAACTATTTCCACAAAGTTGAAAGCATGAAATTGACCAAAATGTCTTGGTATGCTGACGCATTAAGAGTTCCCTTCACTGGAACTAAGGGACAAAGCCCAACCCCTGAAAAAAAAAAAACACATCATAATCCCCCCACCACCAATTGTTTTACTTGGCACAATGCAGTCAGTCAAGTACCGTTCTCCTGGCAACCACCAAACCCAGGCACATCCATTGGATTGCCATACAGAGAAGCATGATTCGTCACTCAAGAGATCATGTCTCCACTTCTCTAGAGTCATGGTGTTTTACACCATGACATCTGATGGTTTGCATTGTACTTGATGATGTAAGGCTTGGATGTAGCTGCTCAGCCATGGAAACCCATTCCATGAAGTTCTCTACACACAGTTGTTGTGCTAATATGAAGGCCACATGAAGTATGGAGGTCTTTAGCTATTGACTCTGCAGACAGTTAGCAACTTCTGTGCTCTTTGTGCTTCAGCATGCGTTGACCCCGCTCTGTCATTTTATGTGGCCTACCACTTCATGGCTGAGTTGCTGTTGTTCCCAGTTGCTTTCACTTATAATACCACTAACAGTTGACTGTGGAATATTTAGTAGCAAGGAAATTTCATGGATGGACTTATTGCACAGGTGGCAACCTATCACGGTACCATGCTTGAGTTTACTGAGCTCCAGAAAGTGACCCATTCTTTCACAAATGTTCGTAGAAGCAGTATGCATGCCTAGGTGCTTGATTTTATACACATGGCCATGAAAGTGACTGGAAAACCTGAATACCAGTGATTTGGAGGGGTGTCCCATTACTTTTGGCAATATAGTGTATATACAGTACATATATAGTATATATATATATATATATATATATATATATAATATATATATATATATATCAAGTCACAACTTTGCAATCCCCTAATCCCCCCTTGAATCTCTGTGTCCCCAATTGGTCTCAAAGTATTCCAAATATATAATTCAGTACAGTACAGCAACGACAGAACATAAGCATTGGAATAGGGAGAAAATAAAAAGAGCACTGCAGTGTGAGCCTTGTTGTTACTGACAGCAGTGTTGGGATGGTGCAGAGTATCAGCACTGGTAAAAGTAACAGCCACTTGAGTACCACATGCATGAGAAAACACGACTCTGCAGCAACAGCTCAGTGGCAACAGCACTGCAATGAGACATGGCAGCAAAAGGCACTCAGTGCTCCTCAAGGGCACATTGCAGCTACTCTTCTTAGGTGCTGCTAATGCATCCTTTCTTTCCTCCTCCTTCCTCCTAGACATGCATATCAGCCATTTCTATGGACTTTTAATGTGTAATTTTTCTTCCCCTCTTTAAGGGTACATAAAAGCCATATTTTTTGGCTTGCTAATGCACCATTTACTTCTCCTCCCCCACAGATCATTTTATATGGACTCCTGTTCTTTTTCCTCTTCCTCTAGAATGTATAAAATCCATGGTTTTTCACTTAACTATGCACCCCCCCCCCCCCCACACACACACACAGACTCACATTTAGGCTATTTTATAAGGAATCTTTAAATGGCCTTTTCTTCCTCTTCAAGGATGCATAGCATCCATTTTTTTAATTGGAGTGCTGATGCACCCTTTTTTGTGGCCCATGCTATTTCACATTGGCAGGTAACCCAACCTCCATTACTCTGACCCAAAGGTCAAGCCAGCACCACTATTTTGCACAGACTTCTGCTCTCCACCAGCTTGTGGAATGCCATGAAGCAGAAGGGGGCAATGAGAAATACAAGAAGAGTTGTTAGGGTGTTGGTGGTTAGGAGGTGAAATGTTGGGGTGTTGACAGTGAAGAGGATATTTTTCACGGAGGCTTCAAGGGAGACTTTTCACCCCTGCACTCATCCAGGAAGAGCCCAAAATGACTCACTCTGAGGAAGTGGGGAGGGGCAATTATTTGCAACATTTCCTGATGTTGTGTGTATACACTGCACTGGAGGCATAGAGTACCTTATAACCTTATGAAAATAGGCTGGTTGCCCTCTTACAAGGTGGCTTTTTTTTTTACACATTTTTTGCTGAAACAGACAAAGCTGTCCTTTGTGTGCGACTCACTACACACTTGTTGGCAGGAGTAATATGATTCAAAGATTCTCCTATTTTGCCTCCCCATTTTTCATAGCTGGCATTATATTTATTTAATCTGGTGACTGATTCCACCGGAATTGAGGCATAGCTGCAGGGGGTAAAAAAAGAGTACAGTCTCACCACCCTCACACCAGTTGGCTTTGATTTGTGATTTGCTCATGACACAAGCAAAGCTCCCCTTTGTGTTCTGCATCTCACCACGACACCCCCTCCTCCCTTTGCCATATCTGCCATTTCATTTACTCAGTCTCCTTTATTATAAGACAAGGTGTGCAAGGCTTAAAGTAAGGTGCTGATGTTTATTTATTTATTTTAAAGCAGCATGTAGCAACATATTTTCAATTAATATAATGCATGTCCTGGTTTCTGGGATGGAGTCATCCTGGGCTGACCTGTCAAAATGGCCATGAATAGTTAGATTGGGTGCAGATATTGACAGCAGACTGGGAGATCATGAGCATTGAGAGGAGAAGTGCAGCAGACTTTAGTTTCACTTTAAGAATTAGCAGATAAAAATAAGAACTGTTTGGAGGGAAAGGATGTACAATATTTGATATATTCCATTATTAATGCATGTATAAATAATATATAATTTGTATAGCATATATTAATATAATAAGTAGTTAACGTCTTCTTTTAACAAAATACATCAGTGAAATAAATGCAAAATCATTACTTCTATGACTATACAATTTTTCACAATACCACGGATAGGCTATCAAATTAAAATGTTGTCCAACAATGTATTTAGACAGTGCTTAGCTCCAGTGGTGTGTGCAATGTCGGAAACTGCAATGTGTGCTTTAATTTTCTGTAATCCTATATTAAACATTGTGCTGAAGTCTGTTGAACATTGATAAGCTGTTTTTACACAGCAGATCCACAGAGACAATGGTGCTTAAATGCTACAAAGACCTTGGTTGGGTTTCTCTATTGTAGAGGTGATTTAGATGCATCTTGGCTGTGGCGGTAATGCCAAGATGGCTTGGCTCGGAATTAATATCTGTATTATTGTAATACTTAGCTGGTATTTCAACATTGCCTTTTTATTCATCTTATAAAACAAATATGATAGTGTTTAACTATTTTGAGAGCTCCTTGATTGTTGTACTTTCACATATTCATACGTTTTCAGTATTCATGGCTGTGAAAACACTGTATCAAATTGTCAATTTCACCTTGGGCCTGAAAGGCTAACGCTCTTTTTGCCCGCTTCACTTCAGTAATTGTAACTCAAAATAAGAAACAGCATCTCCTTCTCCTATCTATCATTTTTACTGCTAAGGAAAATAAAATGCAAATCTACTCCATATGGCCTCAATAATCTCCATTTCCTCTTACTATATTCTCAAAGCTACTCCAGTAAATGAAATACAGAAATATATAAACCTGGGCAGAACCAAATCTAATTCTAGCTTAAGGCATACAGTAGAACAAATAGTGCATTTATACTGTAAGTGAAAAAATATATAAATATATAAAACGCACAGTTTGTAAACCAAAAGACTTTAAATTAGATATATTTCCTATAAAATAGTTTGTATTTTCAAGTCAGGGAAATATATATTTTTTTGCTTTTCTTTAATAGAAATGTAATTTCATTAAAAACAGTCTTAATAACTAAAGAAGTGGAATGTTCACTTTGCCCGGTAAACCTTTGGTAATGCCAGTCATTCAATCATGTGCAAAGGAAATTCCTATTTTTTTTCACTCCCATGCACATGATTGGATATCTGAAATGAACACCGCTTCAGCTACCTAACTGAACTTTTTACTCATTTAGAAATGCAACAGAGAGTTTCTAGCATGTATACTCTTTAAAGGCAGAGCCAGATGAGGCTTTATGCACTTTTCAAGTTTTCCGATATTATTTTGCCCCTTTGATGAAAAGCATGTCCACAGATTTCACAATCTTGTCCTTGATTTTACACACACAGGCAAATGAGTCTTAGTCTAAAGTTTTCAATCAGACAAGCAATACCTTATATCAGGCAGTGTCAGATGTGCTATCTTTTTATCTAGGCCATTGTGCTCTGGGAATAATTTGCTATGTATTAAATGTCTGAAAGAGCGCAGTAACCTTTAACTAACAATCAGAGATAATTTCTTACTACAAGATTCAAAATTTGTCTAGCTTTCATGTGCTATTGCACTTTTCTCATCATCAGTGCTTTTCACACCAACTAGATAAAAAGTGGCATTTTAAAGCTAGATCTGGGAGAATGTTTACAATTCTTGTATGGTTTTAACATTTGCATTGGACAGCTCCAAATTCAAAAACAAAATTCTATAATTGTTTTCTAGCCCTTTTAATGTCAGAATAGGGAAAGGGTGCTAGCTGATTAATAATTTTTCTTTATGTGCAGGTATGCCAATTCACATTTATATTTAAGGCATTCCCCAAGCATGTTATTTAAAGGAACTGTGTTTTTTTCCCTTTAAAAGTTAATAAGCGTCTTGCTTCCCATGGAATAGTATTTTTAAGAAATGTTTTTGCATGTACCCTAATATCTCAAAAAGAGAGAATCTGTCATTACAGTGTGATAGCAGTAAAGGTATGCAAAAAAGTAAAAAACATATATTGATGTCCAGTAAGGGATACAGTAAGTCCTTGCTAAAACATCTTCTGAATGCCACCAGGGCATGCATCCCCAGCATGTGGAAACAATATCCACCTAGTGGTTTTCCAGAGTGAATCAGATTCAACAGATGGAACACCTGACCACTGCCCTCAGGAACAAGACAGAGGAATACACACACCACATTTTGGCTATATCAGGACGTGAACTATTTCTCAGATGAATATTTGACCTATTCTTAAATTGAGATTACTCCTTTATGGGAATCTGACTTCTTGAACCATTGACCGTGCCGATGCTCCCCACTTTCCCTTCTTTTTTTCTTTTTTCTTCTTCCTCTTTCTCCCCTTTTCTTATACACCCAGAGTGTCGACTTCTTTAGGTATTGTATGTTACTGTGATGAAACCTGGTCTATTGGTTTAATGCTGTCTTTTAAACCCTTGTTTGTACAAGCTTAATATATTACTGTTGAAGGAACCATAAATAAAGAATATTATATATATATATATATATATATATATATATATAGTAACATATAATAAAAAGCATCAAAAAATGTAAAGTCCTCTCCCCCAAATAAATACTGTACATAGAAACTTAAACACATGCGGTTAATTCATCTATGTACAATAACAACTATTGTGCCACATGCACTACAATGCACTGCAAACATAAAATGAGAGCAATCATTTTAGGCCATAATTCATAACTAACTCTAATATGAGAATCTGTAAAGGCGTTTAACCACTAGCCAACAGGGCACTTATACCCCCGTCCTACCCAGGCCAATTTGCAGCTTTCAGCGCTGTCACAATTTGAATGACAATTGCGCGGTCATGCAACACTGTACCCATATGAAATTTTTATCCTTTTTTTGAGACAGATAGAGCTTTATTTTGGTGGTATTTAATCACCTCTGGGTTGTTGGTTTTTTTTGCTAAACAAACCAAAAACCACTGAAAATTTTGAAAAAAAAAAAAGTTTTTTCTTAGTTTTTGTTATAAAATTTTGTAAATAAGTGATTTTTCTCCTTCACAGATGTGCACTAGTGAGGCTACACTGATGGGCACTGATAGGCTGCACTGATGGACACTGATAGGTGGCCCTGATGGGTACTGATGAGGAAGCACTGGTAGGTGGCACTGATGAGCATTGACAGGCATCACTGATGGGCACTGAAAGGCAGCACTCATATATGGCACCGATAGGAGGCACTGATAGGTAGCACTGATAGGCGCCACTGACTGGCACTGATAGGTGGCACTGGCTGGCACTGTTAGGAGTCACTGATAGGCAGCACTGACGGGCACTGATAGGCAGCACTGACTGGCCCTGATAGGAGGCACTGACTGGCACTGATTGGACGCACTGATAGGTGGCACTGACTGGCATTGATAGGTGGCACTGACTGGCACTGATAGGTGACACTGAAAGGCAGCTCAGATGGGCACTGATATGTGGCATTGATGTGCACTGGTAGGCACTGATATGTGGCATTGATGAGGCACTGATGGGCACTGGCAGGTGGCACTGATGGGCACTGACAGCTGGTACTGATGGACACTGACAGGTGGCACTGCTGGGGCTACACTGATCATCAGGGCACACTGATCATCACTGCCCTGATGATCAGTGTACATGTCCCCTCTGAGGAATGCTGATTACTGGCTCTCCTCTCCTCTCGAGCTGTCAGCGTGACAGCTCGTCGTGAGGAGAGAAATGCCAATAACCGGCATTTCCCTATTTACATGTGATCAGATGTGATTGGACACAGCTGATCACATGATCGAGCCAACATCTTCGGCTCTTTCCATTGACCGGTGATGTGCGGTTAGAATGGGAGGACGTCATATGATGTCCTCCCAGAATGAGAGAACCTCCTTGCGCTCATCATTACCTTATATGGCGGGAGGGAGGCGGTTAAAGTGTCACCTATGGACAATTTTCAGGACTAAAGATTGTCGCCGTTTCATGGGTGCATGCAATTTCAAGGCTTGTTTGTTATCTATTTACTGTTCACAACCTTATCTTTATTATTTGATAAAAAAAAATTATAATATAGTGTGTTTTATGTGCACTAAAATTAACTGTAGTGTAGTATGCTTTGTACTGAAAATTTGCATTTGATAAACAAGTGCACTAATATCATGGGAAAGAAAAAAAAAAAACAACCATCATTAGATAAAGGAGCTTAACTTTGGACTACTATTATTGCTTTTTTTTTTCTCTGGAACATGACAGCCATCTTATGGCAATTACTAACCCATGTGCCTGGTTTACTAGGCTGGTAATTTTTATTGTTTGGAGGGGTGGGTCGTCGGGGTTGATTTTTTTTAATTTAAAGAAAAAAAAAAAAAACAAGCAGGCTGCCTAAGTTGAATATACAATGTAGGTGTGATTCATTATAGATCGGTTTATCAAAGAATTGAGCTCATTGCTTGAGAAAATGCACTCTGCACATAAATAAAAGACAAACAAATGCTTTTACCAGTAATGTATTTTAGGGAACAATCCATGTGAAGTGTTGCCATGTTGCCATATTAACCAACTAATTGTGTAACCAGTCACTTCAATATTTTTTGTACTAATCATAGAAAAGCAAAATACCAAACTTTAACAGGAAAAAGAGAAAATACCGACCCTGTTTCCAATGACCTGGCAGTTTTTCTTCCCTTTGAATGCATTACTACATAAGAACTTGTTCTCTCTGTATTCACAGCAGCCAGACAAATGAAAACGGATGCTCTCCAGTACATGTATGTTTATTCCAGTATGTGTACAATACACACTCCACCGAGTCTCAGCCTTCTCCAATGCATTTCACCCAGGAAAAGTTACATTCAGGAAATGGGAAGACAGAAAGGGAGGGTATAATTTTTTAAAATAAAACTATATTAAAAGACATATGCAAATCACACACAAAACTTTACCACATTGTTGAACGTATTGATCCCACATCAACTATAGTCTGTGTTACAAAACAGTACAAGAAGTCTACATTGCTTATTAAACTGGAAAAACATCAGCATTAGTTTTTGCAGTAGCTGACATGTGTAATCACTCCACATAATGATTCAGCAAACAGTTTCTATATCACACTGAGCAATCAATGTACCCTACTTGTTTATGCATTCTGCTACACACAAGGACTGGCTGTCACAATATCATCCATTAATGGGCTGCTTTTCTCCTTGCATTTTAAGGTTAACAATTTAAACTGAATAGGAAAAATGAATGTGATATCTAAAAATAAGAACAGATAACAAAAGATTGGATTGTTCCTCTATCTAGATAGAATTTTTAACATGATACCAAAATATATACAATGTACAGTGAGTTTTTAATGCACTTTTTAACCAACATTGGTACTTTAGTTGTAGAGGGACACTAATTGATTGTTATCCTTTTGCTTTTTATGCCTATTTTTTATTCTGCCTGGTGGAGTTTTTATTCTTTTGCAAGGAGAGATAGGGAGTGTTACTAATCTTGCTAAATAAAAAAAAATTAAAAGATTCAAGGTGAAACATCTTCATTTTGACAAAAAAAGGTTGCCAAACCAGGGAACTGGGGTGCAGAGATTTTGGTACTAAAGATACAACAATAATTATGGGTGATTTAGTCTACCAGCTTAAATACGCTATTAAAATAACAGTTTGAGGTAGACTCATATTTGAAAAAAAAGCATTTGATAGAGACACAGCTCCATCTGTGTTTTACCTATTGCATGCATGTGAGTGGCTGTGACAACTTCCAGAAAAAAGTTTTGCTATACATGTGTTTTATAACAATGTACAATATTTTATTTTGCACAGAACCTAATTTTCACAAGGTTTAGGATTTTAGAAAAATGATAAAACTCTGAACCTCTAAGTAGGAACTGCTGCTTCTTAACCACTTGACAACTGGGCTATAGCCAAATGATGGCTAAAGTGCGGTCATCTAGTTCTGGGAAGGCGCCATATGACATCCTCCAGAACTATGCCTCCCGTGCACCCAGTGAGTTCTGTGGTTGGTGTGTCCGTCAGGGACAGCTGATCACAAGACATGGTAAAAGGCCGATCACAGTGCCCTTTTACCACATGATCAGCTGTGTCCAATGACACAGCTGATCACAATGTAAATAAAGTTACCGGTTATCAGGTGCACTTTCCTCACTCTGTCACAATGTGAGGAAAGAGGACAGTCGGTAATCAGCAAATGTATTTAAAAAATCAGAGGCAGTCCAGTGCAGCCCCCATCCCCAACAGTGTCCATCAGTGCAGTCCCAACAATGTCTATCAGTGTTGCCAGTCAGTGTCCATCAGTGTTGCCAGTCAGTGTCCATCAGTGCTGCCAGTGTCCATCAGTGCCTTCAGTGTCCATCAGTGCCAGCAGTCATTGTCCATCAATGTCACCAGTCAGTGATGATAAGTGCCTGCAGTCAGTGTTTATCAATGCTACCAGTCAGTGCCGCCTATCAGTGCCTTCAGTTCTGCCTATTAGTGTTGCTTATCAGTGCCCATCAGTGCTGTCTCTCAGTGCTCATCAGTGCTGCATATCAGTGCAGCCTCATCAGTGCTTCCTTGTCAGTTCCCATCAGTGCAGCCTATCAGTGCACATCAGTGCATCCTATCAGTGCAGCCTCACCAGTGCCACCTCATCAGTACCCATCAGTGCAGCCTATCAGTGCCATCAGTGCTGCATATCAGTGCCCATCAGTTCTTATTCCCAAGAACATGTGTTCATTTTGCCTGTCAAAATAAGGGCTGGAAAGAAAGGTTCTTTTATCTGCAAATACTGGTACATACTAGACATCAGCAGGATGCTGTATTATTGTTTTGAAGTCTGAAATGTGCTTAATGAGAAACAAAAGAAAAAAAACATAATGTAAGAAATATGGCTATGCAGTAACTCTGATCAACTAAATTATTTGATAACTAAGCTGAAAATCTTCAAATTGCAATGGGTGTACGATTCTTATCTGTTCACTGAATCATTCATTTTAGGGTATTTTCTTGGAAACTCATTTTCAAATCAGCCATTCTCAACCAGGATTTGTTAGAACCCTAGGGTTCCTCCAGAGGGTACTAAGGGTTTCTTTTATTTGATAGTGACTACATAGTTCCAAGGACAATGCTACTTGGCAGAGCCAGTTGCATGAACTCAGTGTTATTTTTAGCTGTCTCTGAAGGTAACATTTGACCACCAGTGTAAGGAGGGAATTAATCCCACCAGCATTTTGTCACTGATCACCAATTAATTGGTTATTTCAAGGGTTCCCTGAGATCTTAAAAATATTTAAAGGGTTCCACAGGGGTTGGAAGGTTAAGCAAGGCTGCTCAAGATCATCAATTTATTCTTCATATAGTTGTTGTGGAGATTTTGGGTAGACAGTATTTTTTGTTACTTCTATTAACCATTTTGTTCAATTTGCTTTCTATGATTTCATGTGGTAGACTAGCTCTTTCATTTTACATTTCAAATAAGAGGTTATTTGCATGCTCAGCAATTTGGAAAAATCCAAACTGTTCCAGCAGTTTGGAAAAATTTAGCAAGTATTATAGGGTTTCAAGGGTTGTGATGGTGGGTAGGTAACTGGAGAATATGCAAGTCTAAATCCCAAGCTGCCCTAGCTGGCCATGATGTCTCCTAAACTTTCTCCAGGGAGAAATGAAGAAAAGTCTTTGATGTGGGAGTCCCCATTTGAGTGTGAAGGGGTTCAGATGAGCTGTCATGTGTGAAGAGGATCCTTCATTGCATCTCTTATGTGTGAGGCTTGCTTAGTGGCTGTTGTAGTTGTGCCATGAGGACTGTGGACATCATATTGCAATCTGCATCAGCTGGAGGTAGAGTGACAGGAAGCTGATTATGTTGCTGCTTTTGCTTGTGCTGTGCCATATAGTAGTGGAAGAATGTTGTGAAAGCTGGAGTGGTGGTATTCAAGAGCTGTATGATCATCTGTCCGAGATCAGCTTGAAATTGGCCAGTGCTGTGCAGAGCTATGGCTTCACCCATACCTCAAGCTTTGCATTGTGAATGGGCTCTCCGTGAGCTATAAATTTTATCTATTGACTCATCTTTTCTTTTTCTCTTTTCTGTCTGTCTCATGTTCTGTCTTTTTTAGGTGCTCTTTATATTTTTTCTTAATTCTTTCTAATTCTTTCTATCCAACTATCCATGAACTGTTTGCATCTTTTGTCTTCTGATCCTCATATTTAAGTAGTTAACTTCAAAATGACTTCTTGGCGGTTTTCCCCACACCACTGTGTCATAGAATATGTTCACTTATGTTTCCTCAAATGAATTGTTAAAGCCAATTTTCTGCTTGTTTCATCTATGGCTGAAACACTCTGTTGGTGGTATCTGACAGACTTGTGCCATGTGGTAAAGAGATGATGTTAATTTCCCTACATTAAATCACTTATTCCCAAGAAAATGTGTCCATTTTGTCTGTCAAAATAAGGGCTGGGAAGAAAGGCTCATTTATCTGCAAATACTGGTACATACTAAACAACAGCAGGATGCTGTATTATTGTTTTGAAGTCTGAAATGTGCATAATGAGGTACAAAAGAAAAAAACATAATTTAAGAGATAA